CATTATCACTTGATTAAAATCCATTGATGATAGGCGGGATTTGAACCCGGGACCTCAGACACTGAAGCCCCACGCTCTACCACTGTACCAGCTTACCCCCCATATCAGTTAAACATTACTACCTAATTCTTTTAATAAGTTAAATGACTTGTATTATGTTTTAAATTTTGAACAATTTGTAAATAATTTGTTTTGAGATCTTTTATTCAATAGCTCCCCTTAAAGGGCAATAAAATGAATATATGTATTTATGAAGAACATATAAAATTGTTTAAGAAAATAAAAGTACAATAGTATAAATGTGGTATTTCAAATAGATTAAAACCAATAAAATTGTCCAACTTATGAATAATCTACTGACAGGCGCCCGATAAAGAAATCACGTTTTAAAAGCGTTATAACTTATTTTTACTCCTCATGATTAATATTAGAATTATTACAATACAAACTTTATAGTGATAAAATTAAAAACTCTTGCAGAGAACCAATTATTCTAACAATGTGAGGGGGAATCGCTCTAAGCTTTACTTTGATTGCAGATTTTGTACTAATCTAGAATATAATCATGTCAATTCATACTATAACTCGTGCGGTATTTATTATTTAACATCCATTTCATAAAAAAAATATGTTTAAGTATCTTACTTACAATAAATATTAATAGTTAGAAAAACTAAAAAAAATATTCTATCTATAAGTTTAATTAAAGTTCATGTTTATTTTCAAAGATATGATTAATATGATTTATATAATTATTTATATGATTTATATGATTAATATGAATTTTAATATGATTAAAAACATATCAAATATTCAATTTACCCTTCGTAATATTATTTCACTATTTCGTGTTATAATGGTAAGTTTGGTAAAACAGTGAGCAAAATGTTTCGTGTTACGACAGTTTAACAAACACAACAAACTGTATTTTACTTTTTAAAGATTTACAACAAAGTCATGTACTAGTTTTACTATGAAAGTATCTTTTAATGAACTGACCAAATGTGCTAGTACAGTCTGTAGTATTGATGGATGAACTTATTTTTGACCCTACTGTTAATACATAGTAAGGGACGGATCGCAAGTTTGTATATGTAAACGACCAACCCTTTAACATATAGGACGAAAAGGTTCACAACAGAGTGGTAATCGGTCTGAAATATATTATTGGATCGTCCACCCTTCTTTACCGGTCCAAAAGTACTAGCATTGTGGTCTGAATTGTCTTGGTACTGTACAAGATCACAAAAAGTCCGTGAACAGCAAAAATTGACACCAAATTCTAGAAGCTTAGGTTTATGGTTTTAAACTGCTGCTATTTTTGTTGAGTCGAACATTTTAAATTTGGGTTTGCAGCAACACGTATTTCAGGAAGAGATCTAATTTAGTGTAACTTAATAGGGATTTCATTTAATGAGTACTCGACCTTTAATCTTCGTTAAGATTTTTCTAGAGGATCATACTCCTCTGTTATAATTGGTATGATAACGATTTGTATTTACTTAGAAAGTTATTTAAGCTACGTTTCTTGTGTATAATATTTAGTTGCGTTATCTGTAATAGTTTCAATTTCAAAAATCTAATACCTTTCCTGGACCTTTTGTGTCCTAAAAGAAACATCCAGTTGAGAAAGATTTGCCTTTTCAAAAGAAAACTTTTACGAATAACCTAATTGAACTACATAAAATAAAAAAAGTATAATTTTACGCAGCAAAATGTTAAATTATCAAGGTTAATGATGTGACATTGTGTACGGCGTCATCTTTTATTGTGTTTTAGCTTTATAATATTTTAATTTAAAATTTCCAATGCTTAGGCCGTGCATTATACTTTGACTTAAATGCATTAGTTTTAGGCCTAAAATACATTTCTGTACGTCACTTTAAACGTTATCTGAAATTAATTTTTTTATCGTAGTTTTTTTATGGAAAAATCCAAAGGTGTTGTGGGTCTGACAGTTTCTGAAAACATATAAACAATTTTATTTATAATTTAAAAACAATCTGAACGATTTGAAAAATCCAATTTACATACTTTGTTAGGTCAACATAATGGAAATATCTAAATTGCTGGAACAATGAGCTGAATTGAACAAAAATTGATTCATTTAAAAACTGTCAAAACCATTTCAACCGAAGTCAAATTATCTTCGGTTAATTTAAACTCGAAACACTAATTTAATCCATCTTTGTATTATACCAACTATCATTGTGGTTGGTTTACATTTTAAATCAACGCATATAACGTACATATTAGTGCTATTGTACCCAAATATTATCAGAGGTCAAATAAATCATAGCGTGTTATTTCAATTAATTTTAAACAATTTAAGCATCTGAATCACTTCATTTCAACAAAAAAGGTTAAAATGCCTGTTGTGTTCTCAATGATCAGCATTTTTGTTTAACGACCAACGTTTCGAACCTAAGGCCTAAGTACCAATTAGTTACACAAATCCAGTTCTTCCCTAGGGTTGTGAAGAATCGTCATATACACTTAACATCCACACAAAAACATTGGGTTACAAAAAAACAAAGCTTTGGCCAAATTGTAATATTAAAAGGTGGGCGCATGGTGTACCCGTCAAAACGTGGGTCATGGCAGGTACTTTAGTTGTTCATATTTACAACGTAACCAATACCTAATGTTTCGGCTTATAAAATAAAGTTCACAAACAAAATGTTTCCCACTTCAAATTTAAAACAATAGACTACCTAAGTTCGGATTATGAAAATTATTTCAGAAGGTAGAGGTGATAAATTATGTGACGCTACACAATTATGGAGACAATAGAACCCACTGTCCCACAAACTTCCTTTATATAATAGACATTTCTGGTTGGGCGCGTGTTGTAGTTTGTGTACTCCAGGAATTTAATGCATCTCCTCCTGTACACATGTATACATTGGGAAATGTATTAACACAAAAGAGTTATATTTCGTAGTTTTTTTTTATTTCAACTTGTGTATTTAAAGTTCTATGGTTACTAACTAGTTAATGCATGGTTTCTTTATCGCAATTTGGGATTTATAATTAAAGCTATAATTCCAGATTAAAGGGGTAAAAAGGGCTAAGGGCTAAAAAAGGGCTAAGGACCAAAGAGGCTAAGGGTAAAAAAGTAGGAACAATGAAAAAGGGTAAAGGGCCAAAAAGGGCGAATAGCCGAAAGGGGCCAAGGGCCATAAATAGCAAGGGCCAAAAAAGACTAAGGGCCAAAAAGGGCCAAGGGCCAAAAAGGGCAAAGGACCAAAAAGGGCTAAGGGCTAAAAAGAGCCAAGTGCCAACAAGGGCGAAGGGCGAAAAATGGTAAAGGGTCCAAAAGGGCGAAGGGCCAAAAAGAGCTTAAGGGCAAAAAGAAGTAAGGGGTCATTGGCCCTTTTTGGCACTTAGCCCTTTTATGCCCTTGGCCCTTTTTGGCCCTTGGCCCTTTTCGGCCCTTTGCCTTTTTTTTAGCCCTTAGCCCTTTTTTGCCCTTAGTCCTTTTTGACCCATAGCATTTTTTGCCCCTTGGCTCTTTTTGGCCTTAAGATCTTTTTGGCCCTTGGCCCTTATTGGCACTTAATAATTTTACCCCCTTTACCCTTATTGGCCCTTCACCCATTTTGACCTTTAATCCTAGTTGGCCCTTCACCCTTTTTTGGCTCTTCGCCTTATTTGGCCCTTCGCCCTTTTTAACCCTTACATATTTTTGGCCCTTTATCCTTTTTCGCCCTTAGCCCTTTTTGGCTCTTAGTCCTTTTTGACAAAAGGGCCAAGGGCCAAAAATGGCCAAGGACCACAAAGGGCTAAGGGCTAAGGGCCAAAAGGGCCGTGGGCCAAAAAAGGGCCAAATGCCAAAAGGGTCAAGAGCAAAAATGGGTAAAGGGAAGATGGGCAAAAGGCCAAAATGGGCCAAGAGCCAAAAAGGGCCAAGGATCAAAAAGGGCTAAGGGCCAAAAGGGCCGTGGGCCAAAATAGGGCCAAGAGCTAAAAATGGCCAAGGATCAAAAAGGATAAGGGCCAAAAGGGCCATGGACCAAAAAAGGGCCAAGGGCCAAAATGGGCCAAGAACAAAAATGGGTAAAGGGCAAAAAGGGCAAAGGGCGGAAAGGGCCAAAGGCCAAAAATAGCCAACGACCAAAAAGGATAAAGGGCCAAAAATAGCCAAGAGCCAAAAAAGGGCCAAGGGCCAAATAGGGCCAAGGGCCAAAAAGGGCCAAGGGCCGAAAAGGGCTAAGGGCCAATAAGGGCCAAGGGCCGAAAAGGGCTAAGGGCCAAAAAGGGCCAAGGGCCAATAAGGGTTGTGGGCAAAAAAAGCGCTAAGGGCCAAAAAGGGCCAAGGGCAAAAATGGGTAAAGGGCGAAAAGGGCAAAGGGCCAAAAAGGGCGAAGGGAAAAAAAGGGCCAAGAGCAAAAAGGGCAAAGGGTCAAAAAGGGCCAAGGGCCAATAAATGTTGAGGGCGAAAAAAGGGCTAAGGGCCAAAAAGGACCAAGGGCCGAAAAGGGCTAAGGTCCAATAAGGGCCAAGAGCAAAAAGGGCCAAGGGCCAATAAGGGTTGTGGAAAAAAGGGCTAAGGGCCAAAAAGGGCCAAGGGCAAAAATAGGTTTAAGGGCAAAAAGGGCAAAGGGCCAAAAAGGGCCAAGGACCAAAAGGGCTAAGGGCCAATAAGGGCCAAGAGCAGAAAGGGCAAAGGGCCAAAAAGGGCCAAGGGCCAATAAGTGTTGTGGGCAAAAAAAGGGCTAAGGGCCAAAAAGGGCCAAGGGCAAAAATGGGTAAAGGGCAAAAAGGGCAAAGGGCCAAAAGGGCTAAGGGCCAAAAATGGCCAAGGACCAAAAAGGGATAAGGGCCAAAAAAGGCTAAGGGCCAAAAAGGGCCAAGGGCCGAAAAGGGCTAAGTGCAAAAAAGGGCTAATGGCCAAAAAGGGCAAAGTGCCAAAAGGGCCGTGGGCCAAAAAAGGGCCAAGGGCCAAAAAGGGCTAAGGGCCAAAAAGGACTAAGAGCCAAGGGCCGAAAAGGGCCTTAATGACAGCCAGTGAGTCATTACTGCCCCTGGACCTTGAAGCTACTCAGATTGAGGAGTCATCAGAGAAACCAATGTCGCCACCTCGAGATACTACACCAGAACAAATCCAACCACCTTCGGAGACATCAGTCTGTGAAAGTGTTAAAATAGTGTCGGGCGCTCTCACTTCTAGTGAAGCGCTAAAGCAGAGAAATTGTGATGGAAATTCAAGTCCAATTTTTAATGTAAAAAATTTAGTTAAGAATCACTGTTCCTCCAATAACCCTAGTTCATGTGAATCAATTAATATCTCCATGGAGGTTGGTTGTTTTTTAGAGGAAACCCACATTCAAAACTTAAGCTTGCAAAGCAAATGCCCCCACTAAGTGACCCTAAAATAATTAAAAACTTTTGTGTTGTATGTAATAATTTTCATGACTTTTTAAATGATGCTAATGCTTATAATACTAAAGGCTCATGGCCAGTCTGTAAATCAGCTAAATTTGAAAAGAGATTTTTGTGGTTAATGCACCTTAACATTGAGGGTGGGTTGATAAGTAAAAAAAATGATCTCGAGATATTCTTAGAAAATTCAAATATTCCTATTGTTTGTTTGAACGAGCATTGGCTTAAGAGTGTAGATATAAATATTTTAAATAGCATCCCAAATTATACAATTGCCCATTTTTATTGTAGGGAAGAAGGTAGCCATGGTGGTTCCTGCATCTTAATAAAAGATAGTTTAGAGTACACTATAAGAGATGATTTCTGTGTTTTAAATGAAAATTCTATTTTTGAATCATCATGCATTGAGATTTTTACTTTAAAAATTATTGTAATTTCAATATACAGGACTCCTTATGTAACTAATTTTAAGTCTTTTCTCAATAAGTTAGAAAGGTTATTTATAATGCTCAATAAAACAACAAAAATAAGAAATGTATACATAGCTGGGGATTTTAATATTGATCTGTTGGAGGACTGTAGCCATCCAAATCAAAAACAAGATTTTATTTCTCTGTTAAATCAATATGGGTTTAAAATTAACTTTACATCACCGACTCGAATTACGCAACGCACTGAATCCTGCATGGATAATATCTTAACTAGAAAAATAAATTCACAATATTCAGTCCAGACAATAAATTTAGAATTGGGTCTTTCATATCATAGGGCTTTGTTTATAAACATTTTTGATAGTTCGTTTGAGGATAATAAGGACAGGACAGATAAAACAACTAAAAAAGAATGTTTTCAAAAGCCAATGTCACAAGTTTTGTAAATAATATTAAAGAAATAAAATGGGATGTATCTATAAAAAAATGTTTTGAAGAAAATTGTATTAACTTTTTTTGCCATTTTCACAATACTTTTGAAGAGTCTTTTCCCTTAAAGTTTTACAACAACAAAAATAAGAATCAAAAGATGTCTTGGGTAACAAAGGGTATTAGAATGTCTAGTATAAATAAACGAGAACTAAGTAAACTGGCAAAAAAATCAAACGACGGACTCTTTAAGGATTATGTTAGAAAGTATAAAACAATTTTCAAGAAAGTTTGTAATCAATCTAAAAGGATGTGCAATGCTAAATTCATAAACAAATCAGAAAATGTGAGCAAGGCTGCGTGGTGTGTTGTTAAATCAGAGCTGGGTTGTAAAAAAGTCAAGAATAGTTTTCCTGATATTAGACCCTCATATAAAACCATTAGCAACGTAAAAGAAATAGCTGAATTCTTTAATAAAAAATTTACCACTATAACCAAGGAAATGGGAACATCACCATGTGAATTTGAGGCACTAAATATGTCAAGGAACTTAATGACTAGTAAACAACTATTTAATTTTGATTTTAAAGCCATTGAGCAAAAAGATGTAGTCAAAGTAATCAAATCACTTAAAAATAAAAAAATCTGCGGGATGGGATGAAATTTCAGTGGATCTCATGAAAAAAGTCATAGACTCTATTTCAGAACCTCTCACAATTATTATTAACCAATCATTTCAAAACAACATATTTCCTAAACAATTTAAATATGGAGAAGTCAAGCCACTTTTTAAGAAAGGTGAAAAGCATAATCCTGACAATTATAGGCCTGTATCACTTTTACCTTCTTTTTCCAAGATTTTTGAAAAAATTGCTTATAAACAAATTTATAATTTCTTGGAAACATACAATATATTTAGTAGTAAACAGTTTGGTTTTAGAAAGGGTTGCAGCACAATGACCGCTATATCCCATTTTGTTAATGAAGTGTCATGGGCCTTGGATGAGTCACAGAATACAATGGGGGTGTTTTGTGATTTATCCAAGGCTTTTGATTGTGTCAACCATGACATTCTTTTGAAAAAACTGGAAATTTATGGATTTTCTAAGAAATCTATTTTATGGTTGAAATCTTATATAACAGGTAGATTTCAAAGAACTGTTATTTTAAAAGGAGGCTTGCAGTCAAAATCTGAATGGAGTGAAATTAGAGTAGGTGTCCCACAGGGCTCTATTTTAGGTCCTCTTCTTTTCTTAATTTATATAAATGACTTACCTGAAAATATTTCTCATAATTTAATACTGTATCCAGATGACACAACTGCTGTTGTTAAAACTAAAACGGAGGATGATTTATGGATGAAAGTAGAAGACGCTTTAATGGATCTTAGAAGGTGGTTTGAAATAAACGGACTAAAATTAAATCCAGAAAAAACACAACTAGTAAAATTTAATACGATACAATCCCGAAATTTCACACATAAAACAAGAACCAAAACTGTCAAATGTACAAAATTTTTAGGTTTGTATGTTGATTCAAATTTAACCTGGGCCAAGTGCATTGAAAACATATTACATAAGCTTAATTCTGCCTGTTTCCAAATGCTTTGTTTGAGAAATATTTTGGATATGAAAACACGTTTAATGATATATTATGCCTATTTTTATTCAATATTGCATTATGGGATTGAATTTTGGGGATTCTCATCAGAAATAGAAAAGATTTTTAAAGTTAAAAAAAAAAAAAATACTTAAGAATAATGACATTTGCTAAATGAAAACATTCATGTAGACCAATTTTTAAAGAACTTAATATAATGACTGTACCAAGTTTAATCATATTTAAATCCTTATTAATGGTACAGTAAAATTTTGAAAACTTATGTGCGGAGAATTTTGACCATCCATATAACACCCGTTTCAAAAAGAATTTTCAGTTTCCGATTCACCGATTAAAATTAATAGAAAAAACACCAAAATATATGGGAAAGAAATTGTTTAATAAACTGCAACCAAAATATAAAGATTTAATAAACAAAACGTCTTTTAAAAGCAGCCTTGCCTCATTTCTTGTAAACAGAATAAATTATAGTATTGACGAATTTTTTGAATGATGGTAATTTTAGCGAATTTCCCTATAGGGAAGTAGCTATTACCGTAGGTGGCACGGTAAGACCTAGACCCGGGACCGATTTACTTTTTCATTTTGATGTCCTCAGAGGCCAAAAACACTATTCGTTCAAATTTTTATATATGTATATATATATAGACTTATATATATATATATATATATATATATATATATATATATATATATATATATATATATATATATATACGTCCGTGAACGCGATAACTTGAGTAATTTTTGTCCGATTTTGATGAAATTTGGTTTAAAGGTGTAAAGCGGGATAAACTTGAATGAGTTCGCTAACCAGCACGATCGGACCATGGGAACGGGGCTTTACGGGGGGTTTTATGGGGTAAAAATTGGTTTTTCTCACTTTTGACCCTCAAAACACAAAATTTCCCAATTTCTCTTTAGACCTTTTTAAAGAGCTTAAAAAAACAAATAATTTAGTATATAAAAGTATTTTTGTTCGATTATTAGTAACGGAGAACATTAAAAAAATTGTAAATTTAAAATTCCCATGTTATTCTTATGGAGAATATTGTCAAATGTTGTAGTTTGCTTGTTTATGAATATATTTTGATCAAACTTGGCAAATTTATTTATTTTGTACTAAGCTATCAATATTTTACTCAAAAACACACTTTATTAGTTTCCTTGTAGCAGCAAACCTAGGTACTCGCTAAACCTAATGTTATTAAAATATATTTAACTGAAAATCAATTCAGACAAATGGAAATTCGCTTAGTCGGCAGGTTTGCTGCAGCGGGGGTATTTTAAATTAGCAAATATTATGTTTTATAAAATAACCCAAATAATTATTTGTAAGAATCATTGTTTATTTTTTAGTATTTTAGGTACTTATTATGATATATGATTATATTGACAATGTCACCTGTTTTTGTAGCTTATGCTATGTAATCTGTAAAACGTTTATGTGACAATAAAGATACATTTATTTATTTATTTATTTATTTAGGGTCAAGGGCAAAAATGGGTAAAGGGCCAAAAAGGGCAAAGGGCCAAAAAGGGCCAAGGGCTAAAAAGGGCCAAGGGCCGAAAAGGGCTAAGGGCAAAAAAGGACCAAGAAAAAAAAGCGCCAATGGCCAAAAAGGGCCAAGGGCAAAAAAAGGCCAAGTGCAAAAATGGGTAAAGGGCAAAAAGGGCTAAGGGCCAAAAAGGGCAAAGGGCTAAAAAGGGCCAAGGGCCAAAAAGGGCCAAGGGCCGAAAAGGGCTAAGGGCCAAAAAGGGCCAAGGGCAGAAATGGGTAAAGGGAAAAAGGGCAAAGGGCCGAAAGGGCAAAAGGCCAAAAATGGCCAACGACCAAAAAGGGTAAAGGGCAAAAATGGCCAAGAGCCAAAAAAGGGCCAAGGGCCAAGTGTCAAAAAGGGCCAAGGGCCGAATAGGGCTATGTGCAAAAAGGGCAAAGGCCTGAAAAGGGCCAAGTGCCAAAAGTGGCCAAGGACCAAAAAAGGGCCAAAAAGGGCCAAGGGAAAAAATGGGTAAAGGCCAAAAAGGGCCAAGGGAAAAAATGGGTAAAGGCCAAAAAGGGCCAAGGGCTAAAAAGGGCCAAGGGCCGGAAAGGGCTAAGGGCCAAATGGGCCGTGGGCCAAAAAAAGGGCCAAGGGCCAAAAAGGGTCAAGGGCAAAAATGGGTAAAGGGCCAAAAAGGGCAAAGGGTCAAAATGGGCAAAGGGCCTAAAAGGGCAAAGGGCCAAATAGGGCAAAGGGCAAAAAAGGGTCAAGGGCTAAAAAGGGCCAAAGGGCCGAAAAGGCCTAAGGGCGAAAAAGGGGCAAGGGCTAAAATGGGTAAAGGCCAAAAAAGGGCAAAGGGCCAAAAGGGCCAAGGGCCGAAAAGGGCTAAGGGCCGAAAAGGGCCAAGGGCCTAAAAGGGCCAAAGGCCAAAAAAGGTGAAGCTCCGAAATGGGCCAAGGGCCAAAAAGGGTAAAGTGCCAAAAAGAGCCAAGGGCCGAAAAGGGCTAAGGGCCGAAAAGGGTCAAGGGCGAAAAAGGGCCAAGGGCCGAAAAGGGCCAAGGGCCAAAAAGTGCTAAGGGCCAAAAAGTGCTAAGGGCAAAAATGGGTAAAGGGCAAAAAGGGCGAAGGGACGAAAAGAGCCAAGGGCCAATAAGGGCCAAGGGCCAAAAAGGGCTAAGGGCCAAAAAGGGCTATGGACCAAAAACCTAAGTATCATAACATAAGTATTGTAACGACTGATGAAATAATATGCCAACTTTAAACATTTGTTAGTGTTTTATAAGATATGAAAAAACAATTAAGTCCCCAGATTTGTTCAACTTTCCCCCAAAAGGGGATAATGGTAATACTTTCACAATTTCTATATTATGATGGAAAATTATTCGTATTAGATCAAGCTAGATTTATATCGCTCATTTTTATTATAATTACACTAAATAATGGTGATTCAGCTTCAAGAATAATTTGAACTACAATAATACTATTGTGGGTCAGTTCAAAGAAGGTATATCTAATATTCAGGACGATTCTCTTTCACTGTGAACCTTTTCGACCCAATGGTTGAAGGGTCGGTCGTTTACATATACAATGTTGTGTTCTGTTCTTCCTTATTTATCAACAGAAGTATATAAACAATGAATTTGTTGCTTATCTCACGTGAATCCTACAATCACTTTTTTGTGAAATTAGATTTTCAGATTACAAGAAAGACTCTTGTGTGTACGGAAATAACATTTATAGACTCCGTTTTACATACTGAAAAATTTTAAATGAGCTCGGCTTAAGTCCTAAGAACCACTGTTTAGATTTGAAATCTAAAATAGCACATTCTACTTATTGATGACACAATACAGATTGTAAGTACAATTATTAATAAAAGATTTTCTTCCTTTATTACATGTTCTGGAGAAATGTGTACCTCAAACGGTTTCAGACTAGTAAAAAGTATATAAAGTAATGATAATGAATTGCATAACTTATTTAGAATTCACTACATAGTAAATTATAGTATACCATAATTGATGCAATATGTTAAGGTTACGCTCTATGACAATTCACCTTCCCTACATCATTCAACATTAGATCCATCTGGTGGGAACATTAAAATGAAGTGAATGTCGTTTGGAGGGACCCAAACGTTAGGCTGCTTCCCAGTCGCCCTTTTTAAGCCAACAAAAAACACTTTATGAGAAATATAATTTGGAAAAAATAGTAATTCCAGAAGTCACTGCTTACCGTCGCTATCTCTTTCACTCATTACATAGTATTTTTTTAAACAAATAGATTATAACACCCCTATAGTGTTTCTATTAATATAATATTATTGACAAATTTTAAACCTATATTTTTTAGTCAAACGATTTTAATTATTTGTGAGTTTTATAAACTTAGTTTACAAGTGTATAAAATACAATAACACTATGATTAAACCTAAATAACATTTTTCAAATAATTTAAAGATAAAAAATACCAAGCGACACTAGAAATAGTTTTTTTAATGTGTACGGAACAAAATTTACTAAATTGTTTAGGGGCATTCCATCTTAAAATAGTTTAAGCCTTAACGACATATATTATTGTTGGAAAGATAAACCTGAAAATTAACATAACCTAAGGTGCCTAGTAATGGGTGTAAAATATTTTCAATTTTATATGGATAATAAACGTGTATTGCTAACTACCTAATAACATATATTCAGGCTTTCTACCATTAGAAAGTTTATAATTTTACACTATTCATCAAACAAGTAGCTTTACTATAAAAAAATTAAATACAAGGCGAATGTAAAATCTTATCTTTTATTTCTTTATATTCATCGTTAAAACTATTTTATTTCTTTAAATGTCATCCGTAAAACTGAAATATCTTAAACGTCCACGAAGAAATCGCATATTTTCTACTGCAACTATCAAGGACTACGAAGGTCGAAGTGAACTTCAGATTGAGCGTTAATCTTCTAATCCTTCAACACCGAACCAATATCCTGTAGAAGTGGAAACTGAGAGAGAGGTTGAATAAAATAAACACTTGGTAGATTACTGATTGAGCTCTGTAGATTATGGTGTAGATTTTTGGATTTGGATAATTCTAACCTTAAAATAACTTCTTGATTAGAATTTTATGTTGGTGCACTATTATGTAATAGGAGGGTCAAATATTGTAAAGAGGAAGTGTTTGGCAATGTTGTGTGAGTAGGCTGGTAGTGTTGTTAAACAATAACTTGTTGTGCTGACCTACTGAAGGCTATTCCTTTAAGTAGGCCAGTGCACTTGATCAAGGGTAATATTCAAGTTATTAATTTTCATGACAGTATTGGAAGTCTGCCCAATAAATAAAATAACTTAAATTGAAATCTGGGAGACTTCAGTTTACTCTGTTTTCAAATATTTCAAATATATTCATTCATGTATTTAAATGAAATACTTATCGAAACACAATACGATGTTGGATAGTGTTAGACGGCGTATTCGATTTATTATACTCCAATTGAAAATTATACAACCGATAAAAGTTATACTTTGAAACTTTCAGAGATCACTTATATTGGATACAATAATCTGTTATTGGAAATGGTTATTGAATGTACAATTGATGTTTCAAAATAATTTGAAATTGGGTTCTTAACCGTTATTCGTATAAGTACCAAAGGGCGTATGTCAGCCAATTCACGTAGTATTTTTTAGCAAGGCATAGAATATGTATTTTTCTTAGGCTAACCATAAATGGGGTTTAAACGAGAATAAACCAACAAACAACGAACAAACAGAAAACCTTTTAGATTTATTTTTTCAACTTCTTTTAGAAATAAAACGTACACATCCAATTACATATAACATACAATAATCATTAAATTAAAGCAATAAGTGGGAAAAACTTAAGTATTTTGTTTACAAAGGGATTTTGACAGAGAAATGTAACTATAAAATATAGCTTTCACACAAAAATACAATGACCTTCCTGCTGGTGTATTGGTATTTCCTTTCCTACTTTTTTACAGTATTCATAAACTAATTCTACAATTCACTGGCTTGAATAGATTTCTAAATATAAAAAAAAACATTTTGGTAATAACAAATATTTGTCACCCTCAAAACTTATCGTTCTTTAATCTGTACCCATAAACTTATGTGTGCGTAGATCGTATTAAAGTATCTACTCTAATAAGACCTAAATCAATGTTGTGGCATTAGCCACTATTTGAGTATCAAGACATACAAATGTAATACAGCTGACACCCACTGTGTTGTCAAGCGGGGGATTACATAAAATATAAGACGAGTTCGGTGCCGCAGGAGCCTCTTTCATTACCTTTGTAGCAGAAGTCTATACTGAATCTAAAGCAGATCACAATGCCTCTAGTTGGTCTTCACGTTTGAATCTTATTGGATTTTTTATTTGATTTTTACGAACTAACTAGATAAAATGTCTACGGTTTTATTGACTTTGTAAATATAATTTGTTTTATAGTGGTTAACATCAGTAAATATTGTAACTAACACCACACTAAATTTGGCGTTAAGGAACTCTAGGTTAGAGTACTATTACTTTTTACGTTTTAAAAATAATAATTCGTTGTTAATATTGTTATGAATACGTTAAGGAGAAATAAACAAAACAGACATAAACAAGGATAACGTAAATATTCTGTCCACATATGTTGTGCATAACGCAACGTAATACATGAATAAACCATATTTTTACATAACCGTATGTAACATACGTAAAGAAAATAAGTAAAACCTTGTTGTTTTACGGATGGAACCTGACGTGAACGACGTTACTGAAGACAGATGGCAAGTTTCTATTACATAAATTTACAATGTTGTTTCATGGAAAGGGTCTGTGGTGTGGACAAGATTCTATTAAATAAACCCACAAGTTTAGTAATTTATAGATTTGGACCTGTAATGTACATTATTACTGACTACAGATACAATGTTTCTATGAGATAAATATACAAGTTTGGTACTTTACAGATGGGGCCTGTAGTACACAATGTATCTGACTACAACTACTATGACTACGAGATAGACGATGACTGTTTCTACAGCTACAATAATAGTGATTATGAAGACAACGCACAACCTAGGACTTGGAACTGTTTTTATTGGGATGAACTTATACCTACACTGGTAAGTTGGTAGTAAAAATAATCGTAGTTTTTTACATTGAGATAAAACTCTTAAACGTAATAAGACCATTGAAGGTTAGTATTAGTGTGATACGATTATTAGGGTAGGATTAGCGTTTCTTGGTAAGACATGCTGGAATTTTTCTGTCCTAAGACACTAGGTTCTAGACATCATTTTTCACATTACTTCAGACTAGATCTAATAGAGGGTTGTGGATAAATCAATTGGATAAATCAATTGATGATTTTGTGGGATTTGAACCCGAGACCTCAGGGACCGAGACCCTGCGTCTGCCACTAGACCACCTCGTCCCCCCATTAACTATCTCGGCTTAGTGAAATAACTAAAGGCTGATTAGTTGGGGGTTTTATGAAAAAAAAACCTAAAACATTTTTTACTAAAATGCTCTATAGAAGTAAGCTGCTAGTGTGATGAATTAATTTAATACAATAGCTGAATTCGGTAAGCTAAATTCGGTTGCTTGGTTCGAAAATGGACCCACTTGTTCCTGATCATTGGGCTTTAAATAAAAGATTTTTCTCAGTAACAAAGCTATACAAATCATCTCAGTCCATTCTACACTCATCCTCCACTTCGGTCAAAATATAATCTAGACTGCCTTCACCTCAATAGATAATTTATAAACAAACTAATTTTATCCTTCTAAGAACTTATAATGTTAGTCAATTGATTTACTAAACACAACTATGACATGATTGAAGTTTTAATAATCAAACCTGTACAACAAATGTTGGTGCTTTACTAATAGTTCTGAATTCCCCAGGTAGTCTACGGTACGACGTTTCTTCTAGGAGTCGTAGGCAACACGCTCATAGTTTTTACCATCTGTCGGTATCGAAGAATGAAGAGTACAACAAACGTGTTCCTAGCAAGCCTAGCCTCTGCCGACCTTCTTCTCTTACTCATCTGTATACCTGTCAAGGTACCGTCTTTTTGTTTGTTTATTCTACAAGTTTATCTATGCTGGCTGGGTTCAGATTAAGATGCTACACCGTATATATTAGAGATGATCATTGGTTTTAGCGAGTTTCGTATAAAGAGTGCGCTGTTGTTTGAGGTCTCGTTGTAAGATCTAGACCAGAGATAGAATCTTTTCCGTGTTGTGGTCTCTAGAGGCTAAAATCACCACCTGTTAAATTCATGTACTATTAGTATGATAATTCGAGTAATTTAAGTCCAATTTTGATGATATTCTGTAAACCTACGTTTATTTGTACGTTGCAACCCTTCATGTTCAAAGTGTGGGAACGTGAGGTATTCGGGGTTTAATGGGGTAAAAGTTGAGTTTCCCTATATTTTGACCTTCAAAACATAAACATAAAATTTAAACTTTGCTGTTTGTCATTCATTGAATGTCCTCTTTGCAACTAACAGTTAATACAAATCCTCTGTATTCATTTAGGATTCTACTTTCATTTCAATTATGCTATATTATAACAAAAACACAATGAGATATAGCAGTATTTAAACTGTCCAAACGTCTTAAAGAAGTCAATTATTTATTCAAAAACAAACATATTACGATGGACGGAAAACAAAAATGTTCAATGCACATGAAGTAACGTTCTTGATTCCTGTAGCGGTTTGCTTTGGCAAATTGGAACTATAATGATTGTTAACAGTAATCTGTCGTATCGGAACGTTGTCTTCGAATCTCTAGAGTTTCGTCTACTGCAATGTTTTCTCAAGTTTTTTTTTTTCTGTAAGTTCGATTCTATTTTTATACTAAATAATTACTGTTCTTGACGATTTATTTTTTAGATTGCTAAGTGTTTTTTAACTGAAAGTATAAAACATGTTATTTTAAAAATGTACCAACAATTCATTACAACACATTATTTTGCTTTAGAGAGGAAGTAGAATTTTTAAATGACTGTGAATAATAATATAGAGTTTGAATAACCTAACTTAAAATAACATAGAGATAAACTTTTTTAAATAACAAATAATAATAATCTAGAGTTGCAATAAAGCATGTAATATTATTAATACTTTTGATACCATATTAAATAGATATAATTTATGAATTAATTACAAATACTACACGTAAACAAATCTCCAATTATGAAACGAAAACCTGTCGGGATTCTACTGCACATACTGTTTACACGTAATATAGTGTTTAATATTATTTAAATAAAAAACTAACACAAATAAATTAAAATGAAATTTAACTGTAAATATAAGGCTCTATGATTCGCCAGCTAGGTAGGAATGAGACAGCCAATATTGGTATAGCTAAACCAATTGGAAACACCCGACGTTCTCAACTATCTACAACTACTCGAGTTTTATTGAAAATGCTTTATCATGGAACGTTCCAATAACACCTTGAATATATTTTACATAGTTTATTCAAGGTATTTCATTTTGAAAGTCAGATAAAAAAAAATCAAATAAGTAATCAACAACGAATAGTAACATTTGTAAAATTAGAAATATTATTTCAAAACTTGATACCACATAAGCCTCAAGATAATAACCCAACTTAACAGAATACATTTCTCCACAGATCATAATAATGATAGTAATAACTTATTCCCTCTTAAATGCCACTTATATGGTTCCGTTCCTCGAAAAAGTTAGTAAAGCCAAAATATTTTAATATTGTAGCACTGTGAGATCCATGAGCAAACATTGGACAAAAGCACGAGTAGGTAATATCACAAACTGCCTCAAATGGCGCCTCTCTTACCCTGTGTTATTGTTTTTTATCGATCGTCCAAATATACATGTTTCAAAATTTGTATATGGCTTCATAGTGTGGATGTTTCAAAACATTTGTGTGGTGTTATAGTTACACAGTTATCCATTTATTATGAAATATAGGGAATCTTGGACATGTGCAATTAATTCCGTGAAAACATTAACAATGTGTGAGTTAAAAATGATCCACAAACACCATCCTAACTACTAGGAAAACATATTTCTCCCCCACAACATCGTGTGTGGGATTTAAATTATAATCAGCCCTAGCAGAATCTATATTTTGACGTAGTAAATAGCACGGATCCTCATTAGTTAATGCTGTAGTATGAATCTTAACCAATATTTTGTAGGATTCTTTTTCATGTAGTTCATGTAGTTCATGTTTCATGTGGTTGTTTTTTAAAAACAATTTCATTTCCAAGGCAAATACAACTAGTGCTTAAAAAAATATTTTCCAAGTTAATTTAACTATCGTCATACATTTTGTTGTAAAGATTAGGCCTAATGGTTTCGATTCAACTGAAACTATCGGTATTATATTATAAAACTAACATTAAATGTCGATACATCTTAAAATTATGAAACAATAAAAATTAATTATTCATTCATGATAGTTTATCTTGGTAATTTAAATGGTAATTGTGGCCCAAGACACTTTGAATTTCCCTTTTACTTTGTGTTCTACCGTCTCTAAAATGTAACGTTTATTATTGTAACCAACACCTTCCTAAGTGTAAATAAGATTATACAATTTATAATATTAATATATATATATTTAATATTCAGGCTTAATAAGATATGGGAGAGTTAGTAAGCGAAACATTTAAGATAATTGAGGTTTTATTTCACTTATACCTATTTTAGAAATTCAGAAGCCATTACTGTAAGTAAACATAGCTAAATTAAAACCATTTTAACCATGTTGTCATGTTGTCTGCAAAATAATTTTTTAGTAACAATTTACAATACATAAGTTATCACGTTTAGACATTCGGAACCGGTTTTTACTTAAATAAACCCATAAAATGTCCCATAAAGCCCCATAAAGAACCCATAAAGAATATCGTTCTAGTCACAGTGAGCCACGTCGAAAAGTAATAAAATAGGAAAATATTACGATCGACAACAATCAGTTTCCTTTTTGCTAACGTGTATTTATTTTTTGAGCAAAATATTTATCATAATTATCTGGAAAATGTATTGGAAAGGGAAGAAATTGAATGGTATTATGTTATTGCTCGATTCTTGTATTGCTTTTCCTTGACAAATTGCAGCTATAATGATTGTTGGCTGTAATCCCCGTATCAGAACTCTGTCTTTGAATCCCTAGTAATTCTTCTTCTGTAATGTTTTATTTGGAATTTTTTTTTTTTGGAAGATAAAATGTAGTTTTATACTAAACCAGCTAATATTCCCGTGCTTTGCAACGGAGATGACCCTGATGAGAATTTTGTCCCTAAATCGGTTGTATAAAATTACACATCTGCCTTTGGTTTCAGAACTAAATCCAATTGGACCTTTGGTTTGATTTAAAAACCTTCTTTTAAAGCTGAACTAACTTATAAGGCTACTTAGTACAAACTACAGTATATAAGGCCCTGATACATGTACGAAAATAAAGTACCTATGTGATGCATTTTTAAAACGTACGCTTACGTTTAGTTGAAAAATATCTAGACAAGAGGTAAAAAAGGAGCGTACACTAATAGGACACTGTAGTAAATCAAAATACCCAGCCGCAGCATGTCTGCATACTTAGAAAATTTTAATTTGTTCGATTGGAGCTTTACCTATTTAGCTGTGGCCTATTTAAAAATATAAGTCTTACCTCCGCCCATTAGAATCTCTAATTTAAAAATCAAGTGATGCTAAATCTTATCATAAAAGGAACAGCGAAACTTTACATGCTAGCACAATATGTAACTCCCTATATATCAAATAAGCATAGACTGATGACACATCAACTTTATCACATTGATAACCTGTTACAACGTGTAAAGGTGCAAAACTGACTTGCGGTTGAGGAATTCCTTGGTCCATGACCGCAAGAAGAGTAATCAAATTAACTTTACGGTTGACCAAGTTTAATTTTCTTCCCTGGCATTGTTCGTGACGAAAAACCTCCTTTGATGGTAGTTAAACTTGAGATGAACAGCTTTTTCTGTAACTTTACCAAGACAGTGAAGAAAAATATCATTTTATGGTCAATAGTAATTTTCTATAAAGTTCCGTTGTTCATGTGCGTATGTTGTGTTTTAATAGCGAAGATGAAATATAGCATTTAGCTAGCTCATACAGGATTGCTTATAAAGAATAGTAAATAATTAAAAAATCTATTGGGAAATTTTATTTTCTATATCATCTAATCGAACTAACTTTAATAACCCAACCTAAAGATAAAATCAGATTTTAATATTATTTACAACTGATTGAACAAATCCTAGCTCGATCTGTTGTATTGCTGACATAATAAACCAAGTAATAATTGAGTTACGTTTTAAATTTTAGAAAATAAAGTTAAAACTATTGATAATGAAAACATTATGAGCAATATGTATGTTAATTCAAAGTGTTGATTATAGTTTAATATTTCGTATTTTTTTCTATATATTAAAATAAAATAAATTCTTTTATGAATGTTTTATAGGGTTTTTATTGGTTCTACGAAAATGTATACCTTAATATAGAAAATGCATAAAATTTTTAAATTTGTTCTCAATTTAATTAAAGTTTTTTTAATGTTGATTAGTATGCAAACAAAAGGATGCCACACGAAAGGCTAACTATTTTTGTATTTTGTATGAAAAATTAATGAAATAAATAATAATGCAGAGACATTGAACTTTGTTAAAATAAGTTTTAAAATAACGTAAGTATTTTTTTTTTTTCAATGACCTTTTTACACAAAACAAGTTATAACCTACTCTTTGAAGAAGTTGATTCCTTTGACTAATTCAAGCTATGCTATATTTATTTTGTCGTTCGACTTATTCTAAGTACTCTATTCGACTCTAGGTTAACGTGAGTTTCCTCATACGATCCTACGATATTCCCCTGTTTAGCGATAATTAAAACCAACACTTAACAGTATATTAAATTGTTTTGGTAGTTTACTGTGCCATTTAGTATCAGTATTTAAGGTGTTAGATTTTTTCGCGCCTTTTAACAAAAAAGACAACCCTTAATGGTCTATTAGCTTATTCTGGGTCAATCGTTTAGTATTTCCACTCCTGTTGTTACTGTTTTTGTTGTTTGCTTTTTATCGCGATGTTACTGCGGTTGTTTGTTCGAGTTAACTCCTGCCGTTACTGTTGTTTTTTTATTTCACTCCTATTGTTGCCGTTGCTATTTATCTGTTATCACTCATATTGTTACTGTTGTTTTTTTTTTTTTACTCATGTTGTTACCATTGTTCTTAGTTTAATTTCACTCCTGTTGTTACTGTTGCTATTTGTTTTATTTCACTCCTGTTATAACTGTTATTGTTATTTCAGATAGCAAAGCTATTCTCCTACACGTGGACAATGGGGATCCTGCTTTGCAAAGTAGTCCATTACATGCAGAACGTGTCCGCTATTTGCTCAGTGCTTACCCTCACTGCTATTAGTGTTGAAAGGTTCGTAAATATCTCTAAAAATATTCAATAACAAAGTTAAAGCTGTTTGAACACGTATCAATCATGAGAGCAATAATATTTGTAATGTTTAGGGGTTGCACATAAATTAATATATTAGTTACAAAACTCTTTATTTGTAGTAATTTAGGTAGTTATGTAACGAATAGTGATGATCAGTGATTGTTCTACTGATAATATTTATGAGCTTTCTCATATACATATGTAATTGGAAGTAAAGTTTTGTAAAAATATATTCCTAAAAACTAATTTACTATCCAGAACTCAAGTATAATGATCGCAGAGTTAATATATTACATGTGATACTATTTCTCCATTCCAATGACACTGATAGCTCTAGTTAAAGGTTAATTTGACTTACGTTAACTAATAATTTTATACTCAAAAAGATCTTATTCTATGTTGACATTAAACTTCCCTATCATACTCATAATGCATGATCTATTATTAATATATAAAAAAAAACATTTTCTTAGAAAAGACAGCTTTAAAAGAGTAGCTATGTTAGTAAAAATGTAAAAGCTCACTTATAAAGAAAATTAGCCACGTTTTACAAAGTAGGTGGAAATGTGTTGCAGGTACTATGCAATAGTCCATCCAATGAAAGCAAAATATATTTGCACCATAAGTCAGGCCAAGAAGATTATTCTAGCAACATGGTTGGCGTCTATTTTGCTGGCCTTGCCTAACCTTGCTATTCAGGTACATAATATTGTATATAATATATATGAAATATAATTTAATACATAACTGTTCAGCGATTTTATTTTAGGTTAAGGTTTTTTTTGTTAGTAAAACAATAGGTAAACAGTAAGCAAAATTGTGGCTATACATGGACACTAAGAGAAAATTTTAAATACTATTATATAAATTTATGTGCACAAAGTATTAACTTAATTAGTAAAGTGGCAATCCCATGTATTGACTAATTAAACTCTACAAATAAACAGAAATAAATGGATTGATAGAATATAATGTATTTATAATTGGACGTATTATAGAACCGTTATACACTAAGTACTGTATCACAGATAGCTGATACGTGTACAATAAATATTTGTATTTTTGTCTTGATAATTTATTGGTAGACCACCAAATTGTTTCATAATTTATAACCTTTAAAAATTTCAAAAAAAATCTAAAAAGGCGAGTCTCTTTAAACTTATAAGGAATCAAGTATTTGGTCAAGAGTGGAAACTGCGTTATGTTCTGTGACATATATTAAATGTTTTCAAAATCACGAGTCCTTTTAAGGTATAAAGGACAGACATATACACTACTTAAAGAGACATATATCCAGATCTTTACCATTAATTTGCCTATCATTTATGTTTAGTATGTGACCTGGTTTTATACATCGCCCTAACAACAATAATTACAAACCTCTCAGAGAGGTAATATAAATGATTCTGTAAAGGAATATTAAGCATTAACAAATACGATTTTTTGCATTTATCCAATGCAACTTTTTAATGCACTTTATGTATTACCATAGATAAATAATATAAAACGATATAATCATAAACAATAACTGGTCTCCTAGTTATATAACCAATTAGTAGAGCACAAACCATGAAAATAACCCTAAAATAGTATAAACAAAATTTTGACTATCCCAGCGATCAATGGGGACGTACATGAACTAGACACGAAAAACAAGCTTCAAAATTTACAATGGGATGAAGAGTCTACTTGTGTTGCTTCGTCTATAGTATTACTAGCACGATAATAATTTTAGTGAAGATTGTAGTCTTCCCGGTATCCATTGTAATCCATTGACATCCAGTGTCTTCTAAACTATGTTTCGTAATTGAAAAACACAATTTGATGAAACGGTCCCAACCAGAAGACAACTAACATGCATACCATGATAATATTTTAAATATTGTTAACAATAGTTTAAATATTGTTTGAATATGTTTAAGAATTAAACAGATTATCTTAAAAACGAACTATAGTAAACTCCTAGTAATTTCCAGGTGCACATGGCAGTTGGACCCCGTTTCAACCTTTTTTACTGTACATTGGACTACGACAACCGACCCTTGCTGAAGCTGTACCAGCTGTACATGCTGGGCCTGATACTGGTAGTACCTACCAGCGTCATGGTAGTGACCTACAGTGCTATCTGCTGGGAGATTTGGCAAGTCATGAAGGAAAGGCATCGCATGGTGACAGGCAGAGCGTAAGTGTCGATAAAGTAGAATAAAAACACTTTAAACTTAAATATCGACATTTTTTACTTTAAGTTCGTAATTCTCCTGCCAAAATATATATTTTTTTCATTTTTGAATAATATTTTACAGCTTAGTATTACATTCTCTTTCCTTTGACGTTGTCACAGAGAAGTGAGATACAGAGGAAACAGAGGAAACGTTTAAGTAGTGTCTAGCAAAGGTTGCTGGTGTCCAGGCCAAAGTCTATCACCACCCTCTCATTATCATGTACTACAACTATCACAGTGAAGAAAGACCCTGTGTCCTCTGTGATATGGATTTCTGCACAGTGCTTGCCACTCGGGTTCTTCCTTGCTCGTAACAAGTATTTCCGGCACAATATATTAGAGCTGAATACACACGGTCCTTCCATAAGCAATTTTCCTCCGCACCTTATTTCTTTGTCCTTGTTTTTTAAATGGAAGGACAAAGAATTATCCCTGAGTTATACATATCTACATACCTACAAATACCTTTAGGCAAAACACATTTTTATACCATTTAATCATACATAAACTTCCAATATTTCTACACAAGAAGTATTTATTTATTATTATTTCCATTATTTTTGTGTTGTTTTTTCAATTGTTAGCTAAATTGGTTAACTTTATCCTACCATTTTAGATTGCAAGTAAAAAGCCAGTGTTATACCGGTACTGTTAAAGATGGTAAGAAGTAAACTTGCCTTTTTCACGAAAGTAGATGTGATCTGGTCAACATTTAAACCAGATAGAATTAACTAAGTACACAACTTACTTTTGAGATTGCAACTAGTTGTTGAAGTATAATATTTCTCTAAAATATCATTTTACAATCTTGCCAAGTTGTAAGCCCATTTTAAAAGCTGGCTAAAAGTTAACATTTGTTCTGTTTAGGGAATAACATAAACTATTTATGTACTGTGTTTAGCTACAATGGAATTTACTACCAAGGGAGCTCCATATTATATTGAAATATCTTCTCGTCTTCTAGCTTGCGTTTTACCATTTTAGTATGGAGAATGAATACATTTAACATTGAATTACAATAAGAAAGTTAAATTAATAATTGGTCAATGAAAAAATTAATCTTTCAAAGAAACTCTGACAACAAATTTTGGTTTATATTATATTGTTGGCACCAACCACATAGGTTTACAGTTTTTATAAAACATAAAAACAAACACCCAAACGTACTAAATTCATAGTGTAAAACGTACATTTGTATAACTTCTTGTATATAAGATGACAGCAAAGCGAATTCAGAATAAGGACGACTTGGGCATCAAAGTCAAAAACTTAATATCCCTAAACCACTTATAAACTAAGTTGGTACTTAAGATGTTTTGTGGCTTTATTATAAGTTATTAGGAGCTTCGGTTGTATAAAGGGAATGGGTTATCAAACAGTGTAGGATAACTAATTAGTGAGGTAAAATGTTCAACAACATTATACATATTTTATCATACAATCAAAGGATAAAACATGGTGGTCATGCTATAACAGTAATGAATATTTTTTAACTACATAAGTAATTAACTTTTTATTTGTATTTTAAAACAAGGACAATGTTTTTAACTGAATGATAATTAGTTCCTATAGTGTAATGCTATAGTAGTAATTATTTGCGAATAATTCAGAATAGTTTGAAAACTAATTAACAACACATACATTGCATACATGCAACGTATGTTACATACATTAGGTATGTAACTTATAAACATAATGGATATGATAAATATTACACGACATTGTTATATTAAAATTTTTCCATCATAGCTAAATAATCATGAATTGTAATGTAACAACTGTATTATAATGTCACCTGTCAAATTGACATTCTATTTATTTGTATCGCAACCTAGATCGTCATTTTGCATAAGTTAACTTTCTCTCTGTATACATAATATATGGAGAAAGAGATTTATTCGTCGGGAGTTTTGAGTTTGAGTTTTGGGTCCCAGTAAACCCAAAAAAGAGATTTTGAAAATGATTCATGTGTGTGTGTTTAGATTTAACTGTCAATTTATTACCTAACCCATAAAATGACGGAGACATATGTTTTTTAACGTATGTTGGACGGCTCCAAGGAGTTTTAGTATACAAATCTAATATTTTGCTATAGTGCATTCAACTTTAAACAAAATGGTACAGGAATCAATACTGTTTAAATTACAGCCCAAAAGTTATTGCTCTTTGTGATTTTACCTATAAATGTTCTAGTTTCTCAAATTACTTACCGATTATAAACGTCGTTGAATAACGGGAGAAAGTATTTGTCAGATTTCTGATACACTTTTTTATCATTGACAATATCGTCCATATTGGCCTCAATCTGTGAGCTGGTGCAGTACAATAATTAAGTTTTATGATAAATATTAGTGTCAGACTGGATCTCAAAATCACATTATTTCTGTCATAGATTCGTATCCCCTTTAGCTACTAAGCTACCGCCTCGGCAAGTGTATGACCAGGTCTATAACCTAGCTTACTATATGTTTGTAATTTTTATTCATTCTTTATTAGAGTTCACATGCTCTGCACACTGTTTACATTCTCACATTCTCAGCAGTAAGAGTACAAACTTTATATTCTCAACTGTATATTCTCAACTCATTCCTATTTTTTTAGAACTCACATGTTCGAGAGTATACCACTTACCAAGAGAGAGAGTGGAGGGTTCAAAAACGAGAACATTGCAAGCGACGACCGCAGCAACAATGTTAGACAAGTGAGTCCATTGTTGAATTGGTCAACTTCTATTCCACACAGATTTACAATTCTCTTTAGCTATTTCACAACTATTTACTTCCATATCTTCTATCTGCTTTATAAGTAACTCCTATTCTTTTTGTGAAATGTATCATCTTTCTATTCTCAGTGCTTGTTATGAATTTATATAAGTTTGCACACTTTATCTTTATCCTATTTAAACATATTTATGTTTTTTTAAATAGGCTGTAAGGAAATTTTTAAGAAACATTCCACGCACTATGGCACGATTTAAACAAGTAAAACTAAATTTACCCAATCGACAGTTGTTTTACACAAACAACGTACTTTTAAAATTGTATTTTTGCTTTTTTTTCTTGCTATCAATTCGTTATTGCCACTAAATCAAAATGTCTGTTTTAGGACTCATTAAAATTTAAATCGTTAAAATTTGCATTTATATATTGGGAGGAATCGTTTTACGTTTTAACTGCAAACTATAAACGTTAATCTTTCTTTGCTGTTAAGATATTGAGTTTAATTATTAGTTGAATCCTTGAACATTTCAACTATTGAACTATTAGTTGAAAATTTCAAACATTAATTTATTTCAATTTTCAAGGCTACACATAAACAAATAATTAACACATCACAAAACACACTTTTAAAGTTAAATAAACTATTACTGGACATTTGAAACCAACACATTGTTCAACAGGGAGTCGAAACAGTTTCTGCAATTTCTTCAATGTTCGGACACGTTCCCAAGAGCAGAATTCAGGTGTGGGTAAGCTAAAGAGGAAATGTCTAAATGCAACTCATGTGCAAAAAACTGGTAGAAAATGTGTTTAGCTCTGTAAAATATAGATTTGCAAAGTTTTGTTACTGTGTTGCACTTTTGTATGTACAGGGTGTTTACAAAAGGTTGTGACATAATTTCCGTTGTGATTTCTTGGGTTAAAATAGGCAAAAAGTGTATACACAACTCTCATATAACGTTTAGTTTCGCTTGTGTTTTTTTTCTAACCTTAATGTTTTGAGACAGCGTTGACATTCCAAGCTATCTTTGTGGATGATTAAAATTGAAACTCTTGAACCTTTTAAAAATAGCGGCGGTTTTAAATATTTTATGCCAAATTTCATAACAGTTTAAGCTACAGCGTTGAAGTTACACAAACATTGCAAAATTACAAATAAAAAACTTCAAAATGTTTTTAAAATTTCAGATATTTAAAATGTTTTATGCCAAATTCCTCGAAAAATCTTAAATTTTATTTAACAGTTTCAAGACACGTCAAGTTTAGTTATTGCTATAGAAATTTTAATTTAACTATGTAATTTTATATGTTTTTTTTTTTGTGAAATTTGACATAACATATATTTAAAATAGCCCCCACTTTGAACGGTTCAGTGTTTTAGTTCTCATTTTACAAAAATAAATCTTGGAATCTCAAGGCTGTATTTAAAATCGGTAGTTTTAAATGGTTTTGTAAAAAATACATGTAGAAAGACGTTAAACTAAACTAGATAGGACATATGTTTATCAAATTGTTTTCTAATTTTGACCCAAGGAATCACTAAGCAATTTAGATTCCCACCTTTTATGAACACCCTATGGATTTGAATTGAAATTTCGATACATTGATAAAATATGTACATATAAATCCCATAAATATTCGTCAAAAAGCTTTGAGACTACTGCATGTGAATGTATATTTCTTACAAGATTTCCTAGCAGAACGGAAATAATTAAATCTCAACTGAATACAATTTTTTTTTTTAAACGAAATGCTCAAAAATCAATTCTTAAAACTTACTTTGAATTGTTGTAACAATGTAATAATGTAATAACATGTCTTGTTGGGATTATGGTTAGCTGCGTTCTTGGCCAAACTATTTTACAAGTTTCACCCGTGGTTTTACCATATTTGTTTGCATGTCAAAACTTGACTTTGTTGACAAGTTTCTAGTTTAGCCACTGGAATCAACAAGGGTTCCAGGCGATATCTTATGTATTCAATCGTTTTTATAAGTATACAATATATTTCTGGTGTATAAATAATACCAAGAAATCCTCAGTTAAAAATTTTCAATATATTTAAGTTTTTATTCAAGCTAAATTTGCCAAGCTGTAAATAAAGCATTGGGACATCTAACATTCTTATTTATCTGATTCAAGAGGTTTTACACTTCTTAATATGCTGAGTTCAGCAATTGTCGATGGCTTTTTGTCACACAATTTAACACTTTTACACAAAAAGATTGTTACTACTCAATCTAAAAACTTCACACTAAATAACTCTTTTTCATGATGAATATCAAACAAAAAACTAACTAATAAAATTATAACAGAACAAATTTTTGCTGCAGTGTATTATAACACTCTTTGCTCAGCGAAGAATGTATCTATAGTTATGATCATCTAACAATATAGCAAATACTAAAGTAATAAACCTGAAGGGTTTATTAACTCGCAGACTTTACAGACTCGCATATAATTAAAAAGTCCCAATTTTCAACTTTAGAAGTTTGGTTGCCTTATGAATTTATCGCTTTTAGATAGAACAAACCAATCAATCATTTTGTAGATACAACTTTCAAATACTTATATTATAGGGACGCTCAAGTGTTTAGTAATTTTTTAGGTAGATTTTTATAGTATTTTTTTTTAATTTTAATTTTACGAAATAAACGTTTTGTAACTGAAATATTTCTGACAAGTTTAATCCTCTATTACCAAAAAATATTCCAATCTAGCCTAAGATAACCAAAGTTACCACTATTGTAAGATTATAGATCACACTAATGATTTTAATACGAGCTCTAACGTGGTCTAGACGTTCCAGGTCATCAAGATGCTGGTGTTGATTGTGGTGATGTTTGTGGTGTGCTGGGGCCCCATCATAGTCCTGGATCTGCTGACGGCCTACCACGTGGTCCCAGAACACGCCGCGGGCACCACAAAACATGTGAGGACGGTGTTCCATCTCATGGCGTACTTAAACAGGTGAGAGAGTTTAGATGGAACCTAAAACATGGTTTAAAATATCTATTTAATATTTCATATGAGGTTTTGCAAAGCAATGAACCTTACAAATAGAATACATGAGAAATTTGTATTGACATTTATTCATCATAAATATATATTTACGGTAGAAGTACTTTCCAAAGTTCAAGGTAAAATATTTAGTTTTAATCTGACTGTTATTTAAGAACAAGTATAAGAAAGATATTGCTAAAGTGTCTATCAGATGAGGTGAAGGAGCAAGCTGGTCTATTGGTAGAGCGCAGGAGTTCGGTCTCCGAGGACGTGGGTTCAATTCCCTCTAATCAACAAAAGATATTTTCGAATTGATAGAGCTTTGACCCCCAGTCCTAGCCGTTCCGGGTTGGATCCTAGCATTAAACCATTAACAAGTTTCAGACTTTTTTCAGGACGATTACTATCTATATATAAAGCCAAAAGTACCCATGAACTTTTGAGAAAACTACAAGTCATACCCCCATAAACCATATACTTAAAATGTTCGTCATGACGAGAAACCTTGCTCAAAACTATCTATTTTTTGCCCCCATAAATTGCCCTTTAAGGTCATAATTGCTTTCCAAAGGAACTTTCCATATACTTAATGTTAAAAATAGCTCAGCTGTTCTTATTTGTATGTTATTCTTTCAATTTATTACATTTTAAAATCTGGTGTGATTATTTGTTTGTAATGCTGTATTCTGTTTTGTTCATTTCAGCTTAACTTAACCAATCAATAGTTTTATTAATACTTATGAAGTCAAAGGGGTTGAAGCCCGTGGGTAAACGCTAGTTTGATTTAACATGTATTGACAATGTATCTGACTAGACCAAAACCATATGCACTCAATTACTTAAAATACAAGATATGTTCGCCTGTATATCAGATACATTCTTTACATGTCATCTAACTTGCTGGGTAGCTGAGTGGTTTAAGTGCTCACTATTAATCAACAGGTCACCAGTTTGATCATTAGAAAAGTCAGGAGCTTTTTGATGGTCCCAAACTGCACCCAGCTGTTCTTTATGATTGAGATTTCAATAAATTATCCATACTGATTAAACAGCTGATCTCAGTGACAAAACTACCCACATCTCACACCATTCTACACTCATCCTTCACTCATATTTGGGATAAAATACGCTCCTAGCTGGCATCCCCCATTGATAATGATAATTCTGTTTTAGTTGCGTCAACCCCCTGGTGTACGGCTTCATGTCAAAGCACTTCAGGGAGAGTTTCCAGAAGACTCTTTGTCGTTGGTGTCGTGGACCTCCTCGGCGTCAACTGTCTGTTTCCCAGAGTCGAGCGACTTCCATAAGATTCAAGGAGAGAGACCGATCTACGATGCTAACCCAGCTGACGACACATTCACCTCACCACCTGTAAAACTACAGAGTGACCTTGAACCTCAAGGTGCCTAATTTATGAAAACCTTAAGGTGCGTGGAAGCTAGCTAAGTACAAACAAAAGTATGGGGAGGAGTTTTTGATAGGACATGAAAGGCAATGGACTTCTTATCGGACTCCAAAATATATTGAAATAGTCTGAGGGGATTTAAAATCCAAAGTTTAGAAATTAACTTTTTCAAGACAAGAATATAAAATTAAAGGGGTGTTTTAAATAGGCTGTAGCGTTAAGTAATATGTTAACGTTTTGAATAATGTTTTATCATATTTCTTACACCAATGTTGAATAAGTAGGAACTCTTCTATTTTAGTACATACCAATGATCTTTGATGTTTACAAATAAAAAAACGAAAAAATGTAAATCTGACAAATTTAGAATAGTTTTATTTTCATTTTTGAACAATTTATATTAATTTTTTATATATATATATATATAAATTTTTAAACAGTTATGTAAACTACAATGATGTTGTGAGTTAAGTCTTTCTTCTAAAGCCAAAGCAAATAGAACTGGCGGGTCAAAGTCATGTTTTGAAATGGCCAGCTGGAGTTATTAAACCGCCAGCTCTATTTGAGTTGACTATAGTTCAAATTTCTAAATAATGGAGGCAGTTTTTGTTACGTTACATATTCCTATAGAAATTACAAAATGAAGGTACTAATCAAGTGAGACAAAATATTTTTATATTATTCGTATAAACAAAAATTTTTCCTCCCTTTCGGTTTTAGCCAAGTGTTTAAAAACGTGTATGTAGTCATAATCGTTTTACACATAAGATTTGACACATACAACATACAAGAGCTTAAATATTGTACTGTAAAAATATTATCCATTGGAGGATTTTTTTTTTTTTTTTTTTTTTTGCTAAGCGAGGTGTATTTATATTTAATTACTGTACATTTTTTACTTATCGTAAAATATAAAAAAAGATGCACCTTTGGCACTCAAAAATTTGAAGACAGCAAGTCAAAAGTGTGATTAAAAACAAAAAAAAACCCATCTTTCTTTATACCACCTCACAATAATAATCGTCTGTTATACCCAATAATTGGCCCTGATGCTAGACTTAATTTCTTACATATTGATAAACCTGTCCAAAACCCAGTGGCCCTAAATATTAATTGTAATAAACGAGAAAACGGATTTTGGGACATTTGTATTGAATGTTTAGTATGATTTAATGTTGACTTAACTCGTATATGTTCTTGACTTTATCATATAACAATGAAACGTATTATTATATAACGTATAAAACAACCTAATTATTACAATATGTTTGTAGAAAAATAGGATTTTTTTAAGTTTTTAAGTACTTGTATCTTAAAATTAAAATTATTATGTTTAAAAACCTGTTTGACTTAATGTCAAGTTATTATAGTAAATTACAATTATCTACTTTTGTATATAAAGAGTAATAAAATATATAATTATATTGTTATTTGAACTGTTTTAGTCCACCTCACCAACATTCTCCAATTCCCTTTCACCAGATGTTGTCATCATTAGTATCTAAAATATGCTATATTTAAAACCAGGGCTTTATGTTTTCTGAAACCTTATTAAAACATTTTGTGTGATTGTCAAATACTATAATTGTAATTGCACAACAAAAGGTTTTTAATCATCGTACTAAAATACAATCAAGGAACGACTTTTTTAAGTTGTTTAGCTTTCCGGATGATTCTTGGTGTCTAAAGTAAATCTACCATATTGTTTAGCAGGTGGTAGAGCTTATTATGTGTGTGAAGTTTTATACATTGATTTGTTATACTTCCTATATAGAAGTTAAAACAGCCACACCTTAGATAAGCAAGATTTGATAGATTGCTGTTATTGTTGAAGTAATGGCCATTAATGTTATTCTACACGTGGGTAACTGAATTAACAAACAGGTAAAGAAGTGATTCGTCAAACGTGTCATCACAAAAACACTCCATCATCCAAAACAAACTTGTAAGGGTGGAAATAAAAGTTAATATTGTGTGGTTTGTTGAACTCAATTACAAAGTTGATATAAGTAAGAACAAGATCAACACTTTGCTAACTACAGTACAATATCCTAAATGATGCTCATGGGATCAAGCCTAGGTCGAGTATCCAAGTCTAGGATTGGTCTATATAAGCAATTGTACATCTTAAGTTGGGGTTTTCATTTACCGTATGGCTTATAACAAGGCTAAAACTTTTGGGATCTGATATCATGTTATTGCAGTAAATTGGAATGGATGTCCTTAAATGGTTAAAACATTTTCCTGAAATGGTTTTAGTAATATTTTACAAGATTTAGGGCGGATAAACCATATTTCTACCCAGTCAGGGTTGGTCAATCTAAGATCAGTAATATGATGTGTAGGCCTATACTGTAGTACATAAGAGAAAACTGTTTGAGTATACCTCCTATTTAAGATGGGAAATAAAAGACTACAACAAATTCAGATATAGGTAACGTAGAAATACATTACAATCAATAAGACAACCCTAATTATTATAAATCATCAATAGTACCATAGCCTCCTTTTATTCAAAGCCACGGTAGAAAGATAAATAACGTTGGTGTGTGGCAAGGTCGCACTAGTGGCCTATTGCCATGCCAGAAAAACTAAACAGCAAACGTCTAAACATATCAATGGTCAATTATCAATTTATTGAGATAGCTATGCTACCTAGTTGCGTATTTTAACCCAAATATGACTGAATTTTAAGAGTTGAGTGCATAAAAATTGTGCAGACACTCCATTCAGTGCAACAGCTGTTCGGTAGGCCTGGGCTGCGACGTTGCCAAGTTTGTCTTGCCGTGACCTTTAGTTGGAGAACGATATGTTTAAGTGTTTATTTATTATTATAAATATTATATTTATTATATATTACGGTACTACAGTACCACAGCACCACAGCACCACAGTACCACAGTAGTACAGTCAACCAAGCAGTTGTTAACATGTTCAGGAATGCAGTGTTAACGGTCCAGTAACACCCTGTGGAAAGGTTACCTGGTCAATTCTATAGGAATTCAAAGACGTCACTAGCAAAGACAAGACACCAACAAAGACGATCTTTATCCTTAGAGTGGTTTGTGGCACTGTGGGGAGGATCTTTGATGAGTACTAGTTAGTTGCTTGCCTCATGTTTTACAAACGAGGCGAGGGAATAAGAGAAAAGCACGTATTTCTTAAAATCTTACTCATCTTATCCACAATTTTTTTTAAATTGGAAAATCTGTTGAGATTTTAACTGATTTCACTTTATGTCTATGTGTTGTATAATAAATTAGTAAGATATTGGCATAGTAAGACGGTAAGGATGATTACAAATGAAATGAACAAACTGTTTGTTAAATTAAATACAAACTGTCTACCTTCTAATCACCTTGTATGGTAAAAAGTTATATTAGATAGATTTTTTACTGCGTTTCCTTATTTCGTTACTAATGTTTAAACTCTGTGTATTGCTACTAAATGTATCAAAATATGTACAGTGAGTGGAAAAGAATGTAGTTTTTGTTCACCTTGAAAAATATCTCATCAATTCTAATGCTAAAAATAATGACATATAATTATTTCTTATTCTGTAGGGATATATGGCGTGTGTATAGGTTTAGAGCTTATGTAGAGTATTGTAGTGTATGTATGGAGTTAGGTGCTGATACTAGCTATGTGGGTAATTTGTAAGATGGTGGAACAGACCCTGGAAATCAGACATGCCTGTATGAGCCCTAACCTTTGTTTGCTGCAAAAATGAACTGAGATGACAAAATTGAAAAACCTATCTGGGGACAAAAGGATGGAGACCAGAAAGCAAGCCAAGCCAGCCGGAACGAAAAACAAGTTACAGTATAAAAACGTAAACGAGAAACCTTATGAAAAATAATCATTGCATTGATAATTGCATTTGTTTAATTTCCTCTACCCAGATTGATAATTAAACAAACATTAATTAATGTTATGTCTCCTCTGACACGTGTTTTACTACAAAACCAGTTTGTTAAGGTTAGACCTGTCAATAACAAGAAAGAGGTTATTATAACTAAACGGCGAAACTCACAACGACCACACGTCTAAGTTTGATGTTCAAACGAAATTGGAAGTGAGATCAAATACTTTACTCTGTTAACTATACCTCTATTTTTCCTCTTATTTTAGAAACTAACATTTCAGGTGTTGTTTCAGGCTCCTAACAGTATTATCATGTGTATATAGTTTTGATAAAATCCATTCTTATATTCCAAATGGCCGTTTGTGTGTGGTAAATATAGACTTTATTTATGTGCCTTTGAGAATTTCCGTGATAATAACGTTATTGTCTTTATGTGTGAGCTTAGCTACAAAATTATTGCTTGTTAATTTTTTAGGCTCACCACGTTCAAATGATTTATTTTTGTATGAGGCTTGGTATAACACTTTCAACAGTAATACCTGCTTATCCATAGATAAATTTACTAAAAAGGTACTGCCTGATGTAAATGTAATGTCTATTTTAGAATGGTGTCAGTGTGTGTGGGTGTGTTGTCAGTTTGTGTTGTGTTGTGTTGTATCAATTGTTTATGCTAACCCTCTAAACCAGTCCTACACAGGTTTGGTACACGACTGTTGTAACACTGTACACTTGTACAGGTCAGTGAGGTGACCCGAATACATATAACATTGACAACAACAAGGTCCTCTCGTTGTCTTTGCTGTAAAGTAACTCGATGCCGATTATTTTTGTATTAACATCTCTTGGAAACTAGTAATGAGGTAGAAAAAGCTAGTATGATACAAATTCTCAAGGGGGAGATGTAATCCGCTTAAAAATATATTACATGCTGACATAGATTATGATTTTACTACATTATTTATTAGTTGTTTTAAAAATATTAGTTACAAATTATAAATTTTTTAACTATATTAAAATTATAAGAAGAACAATGGTCACAAGCCGCTTGAATTCACAAAAAAATAATAAAAGTACTTTAATCCAAGAAGGTATAACGGGTTTGTGA